TGTGTGTGTGCGTACGCAAAGCGAGTGCGTTTTTTTTTTTTTCTGCTCCCCCAATCACGAGATTGCAATTTTTTCTCACTCACGTCCATCGTGTCGATTAAACAATTTGTAACACGAAATTTTTCCGCAAACGGCAGACACACTCGCGGGGAGAGTAACTCGCCGCGCCAAGGTAATAACCACCGACAACAACAACAACAAAAAAACGTACAGACGACACAGCTGCATACGCGCCGCAGATCGCCTTCACCTCGCAGCGATTCGCGAATTTTTTTTTTTTCACCATTTTCAAATTTCATTATAAATTTTATCAACCGCCTAGTTATTATTTTTTTTTTTCTTATCAATTTTTAATTTTATAATTTTTCTCGATCGTCGACGAGCAGCAGCTACGTCGTCGCGCGCGCCCGTGTGTGTGTGTGTGCAAAATAATATCATCCACCTACAGCAACTCAATATCACTACGAGACGTCCAGTATCAGCCAGCCTACTATCATTCGATAGTAATAATAATAATAATAATAATAACAACAATAATAACAATATACGTCCTCCGTACTCGTATTTTACAACCAACGAGCGAGGGACGTTTCTCACCCCCGTGGCCGAAAAACACCACCCACCCACCGGTTCGTAGCCACCGCCGCGCGCCGACGACGACGTCGTCGCTGTCGACGGACGAGCCGTCAACCGCGTGCAAATCGCTTGACGCCGCCGCCGTCGCTTCGATTCGCTTCCGTCCGCAGACGCTGGCGCCCCTCACCGCCGGCTGGCACATTGGGCTCGCGACCACGACCAGATAACTCGCACCGCTCGACCACTCCGGTAGTTGGTTGTCGCCGCTGCACACTTGCACACGTACACACACACGCGCGGGCGCGCTCGACGACGACGACGGTTTCACGGTCATCCGTGCGCTATGCAAATGTTTGCAATTGCACCACTGCCCCGAACACCGTCGCGGCCAGCAGCTGATGTGGTCGTCCGTGACTGATGTCATTCCGCGCGGTCATTGCGACACACGCCGTTCAGATCGTTGAAATTCGCGACGAAAACCCTCCCTCGAACGCCGCCGCCCGGACCCTCTTGACGCGCCGACGCTGCGAGGTGAACATCTAACCCGCTCTCTGTGCCCGCACGCCACGACTCTGTGTCGTCTCCTACCTAGTACTGAATGTAAAATAATTTTGTATTTATACTCACACTCACCCTCTCTGTCTCTGTCTCTATGTGTGTGCTTGCGCAGACCTGAAGACCCAACGACCGGGGCCTACCACCTCGATGCCATGAACGTATGACGGAATCGTCCGCCGAGCCACAGCCTGCTGATCGGTAAGTCTGCACGTTTGTTGTTCTCCGACGATATGTAGTATATTGTCGACGTGTAGTCTCGGCCCACGGGTAGTCTGTGTTGATTTTTAAAACACGACGCTGTTATCACAATATTTGTGAATTCCAGTCGTAGAAATCGCCTAGGCACACCACCCGGTGTTGATTGACGTAGGATTTCAGTTAGGTAGGTAGGCGGTGGACGGTCAGGTATGTCCGTGTGCGGACCGGGATAATTTATCGTGCCTGGAAAAGTAGATCAAAAGTTTTCAAAAATTCCTACTAATTACAAATCAGTTCTGTGCGATAGTATTTATAAAAATCTATTTTGAATTAGTACATTATAATGACACATATTTTATAGGTGGGTAATAGTGTTTACGATATAAATTATTATTAGACATAGGTAAGTTGTCATTATTAGGTAGGTACGACAAATTCATATTAAATTCAAAAATAATGTAGGCTAACCTGCTTGAAAAAATAAAAATTTCAGTCGTGGCAGGCAGGCCACCGAAAATCTTCCGATGTGTCCCGCTGGGCCGGTCCGCCCCTGACGGGTACATTTTATGCTGACATGTAAATTTACTCCAATTAGTCAATTTTCAATAAGGTAGCATAGGCAATCTATAATAATATCTAAAATTTGTATAACTCAATTTTTTTTAGGTCTATGGTAGGTACCTACATAATTTTATTTTAAATATTATTTCTTTACCTGTAGAAATCATTTTTGCAAAAAATAAGTATAACGAGTACCTCTTAATTATTCAATTTTTAATAGGTAGTATCGGAGATCTGTTAGTATTTACTGTTTAATATTAATATTTTATGTTTTCAATTTGTATCGGATATATTCATATTATCATTGACCGATACATGCTCTTTACTAAATAATAATTAGTTAATTTTGAGGTTAATTTTATGCGTTATGTTCTTAAAACTATATTGTATTAGTTTATTAGACACTAGTTAAACTGATACGGTTAAGCCATTCAATAAAATGAGAATTAATTATTTTTATCAATAATACATAATGTCACAGGTGTAATAGGTACTAATCCATTAATAATATTATCAAATTTGAATAGTTTTTAACTGTTTTTTGTATTATCGATATATTATATATTATGAGTTATTACCTATATTTTAGTGTCAGTAATTAATAATTATCTACCTACCTGTTAATTTTTTATTAACAGGCAATAATACGCTCTTAATTTTTCATAAAATTGTTTATGTCATGAAAAAATCTACACATTTATGCAATGATATAATACCTATCTGAAGAAACGTATTTTTGTGCTTTGTTAAACTTCTGCCATATAACAATAGTAACAAAACTTTTCGGTGAATAAAATTATGCATAGCAGATCTCATCTCCATAATATCTGAATTCTATAGGTACCTATCTAATAGAATTATAGGTAAATATAGCCAAAACAGGTCAATGTTATTGAAGAATATGATAATTTACGTCTTGCATTCAATGATACATAATATATTTTCAACAATGATTTTAATCGGCTGCCTATTATTTCTAGCTGCTGAAATATAATATAATATTATGTGAATATTATGTTCTCGATTTATTTACCTATAACTTATTTTGTGTTTGTTATTGTTAAACCTCTTGTCGTGTATAAGTACCTAAAATAAACCTTCTTTATTCGAAGACACCTATTGGTTCTATGTATTCATTATATCAGTTGCATAATTAGGTCTTATTTTGTTTATAATGAGTTAATTAGGTACCTATCATATGTAGGTACTGTCTATACAATTTATATTGTTATACATTGTACATGTAAATACATCAAACTTAAACAGTTTACTTGATTAGGTAGGTATCTAAAAAAAAATTGAGAACTATACCATCATTTTTACAAGTACGTTATAATTTATTTTATTGACACCGTAGACAGCCGTTAATTTTTAATTAAGCTGCAAAATGTTATTTTTTTTATTACCTATTATTAATTTTTGTATAATTCTGATCTTAATTACACATATCCATAAACAACAATGAAACAATGATAAATGTTAACTCGGACATAATCTTTTTTACTGCTAGTAAATTAATGCGAGTATAATAATTATATGTGTAGGTCATCATTACCTACCTATATAATATCTGTGAATTTCACAGCTATAAATTGAAACATTACAAATTTTATAATTTGCCATAGTACTCAATGTTATAGTTAAATACTAAAACAACATTTCCATCAAAATATCACACATAAACATTATTAAATTTGTTTACTATGCTATTGTAATAATCAAACCAGACGTAATCTGATACAATAAATGATAGACAGAAATATGCGTCTGTAAATTATTTTTTGCTTGTATGCATAAATTTAATAATAGGTACCTATTATGTTTTATATTTTTATCAGAGTTTGAATACGCTTTAGTTATTACTCAATACTTTTGTCTATGAATAATTTAAATGCACATTTTTAACAACCCTTTACCTAGGCGTACTGCTCAATAGCGTAGGTCAGAGAGATATAAACAATTAATAGTTTTTATCATTTTAATTAATAATTTTAGTTTTCACAATTTAATAACTTCAATTTCTCATTTTGATTACCTAATTCTTTACTATACATGATATAGGTAAGTGAAACTACAGTACATTTTTTTTCTTTATAATTTGATTTCAGAGAAAAACAGATTAAATTACTTAAGAAAATCATTTTATTTTGATAAAAAATCTCATGATTATTAGATATTTTGTTGGTATTTATTAGATATTTTGGTTTTTTATGCTATTACTTATCAATAACATCATTATTCAAAGTAGACTTTATGCCTCGAGAGCATTGCATTACTCTATAGAATATAAAATATATATATTTTACAACATGCTTGAGTTAAAATTATAATATTCTCTAATTTCTATACAAACACACAACTTTATTTCTAAACTTTTTTCTAATTGTAGACATGAAATACCAACTCCTTACTATTTTGTTTTTTATCAACCAGATAACTAGTTCAGGTACCTATTAAGTATAAAAAATTGTTCACCCTTTTTCTTTTACTTTTATTTGAGATTCTTACATTCCTTCTATATATCTATGCAATTATTTATTTTTTTATTGTTTTAATACTACTTATACTATGAGACAAACTGTTAAAACAATTATGAAATTAATTTGCAAAGTATTAAAGTATATACCAATCATTAACTAGAATTAACGCATTAAAACTTAACACTCCAAAAAGTTTGTCTTACATCTTTGACAAGTTCATTGCACATTCTTTAATTTAATATAACGGCTTCTTAGTTCTTAGAAATGAGTAAGTTCATTTACTATTTAAAAAAATGTTTACATTGTTGAATTTTAATTACTTTTCAATTGCACTACCTACAATAAAATCATGTTAATAATTTTGAATATAAATTGTTAGAAACGTATCTTGATTTTGTTATCATAGATAGGTACATAATATTTAATCATTAAAAGGTTTTACCGCCGAGAAACATCTCATATTACCTATTTAATGTTATGATTTTTTTTATTTTTATTGGGTAGATATTTAATTTTTCTGATTGAATAGAAAGTTATTGTCGAAATGTTGTTATAAATGTATGTGATTTTAATTTTTTTAGGGCCATTGATATGTCTTTTTAAATATTGTCACAACAACAATCTGGAATGGACCCTCAGCAACAGTTCTGTCTTAAGTGGAATAGTTTTAGTAGCAACCTTGTAACTGCATTTGATAACCTTTTCAAATCGGAAAGTTTAACAGATGTATCATTGTTTTGTGAAGGTAATATAAAATGTGTGTATTGTTCAATTACGGTAGAACCTCGATAGTCCAATGATCCCAATTCACAGTAGTGCAGACGGTAATTCACAGTAGTTTTGTTAAGAGGACATTGTACCCTCTGCCCACACGTGTTGTCACCGGTTTAAACCAAAACAGAACATACCAAAATATATTATACGTTTAGCAGTTCTAATTTTGTATTCTTAGCTTTCATAATATTAGACTATATTGATCGATATTGATCTATTATGAAACTTTAAGATAAGAACATTATCTGTATTCTTGATGGTTTTTAACTATATTTAAATATTTAAGATAGTTATGAGCAGTTTTATATATTATTATGTACTTTAATATACTCATAACTTGTTTGAAAATTGGAACTGTTGAACGTATATTTTGGTATGTTGGTAAGACTTAGTCGACAACTCATGACTTCCTCTGAGTAGTAACTTATCCAAATTTCGGAAACCAAATTTATCTATGAATCAAATTTATTATTAAAAATGCCAATATTTAATAAAACATCACCGCCCCAATTTCCCTTTTTTGCAATTACTGTTGTTCCTTTCGTTTTGTAATGTTCAACATTTTTTAAAATTAAAGTTGAGTGAGCATTATTCAACGAAAAAATGAAAGATTTTATTAAAAAAATGTCATGGTCATTGGTCTATCCTTGGAAGATGTATAGTATTCCAGGCAAATCGCTAATGTGGATGATACTTATCACAAATTCATCCGGACTATCAAAGTTCTGCTGTAGTATGATTGATGTACCTATTTGAAATATATTCATAGTTCAAATATATAATGAAGTAATTATTAAGCATATATCGAGGTAAATGACTATTTTATTTTATCAGGCAAAACTTTCAAAGCTCACAAACTAATTCTGGCAGCATGCAGTAAACATTTTCAAGAAATATTTGAAGCTACTCCACTAGGATCAAGTTTAATTGTCATACTTGATGGGACATCGTCTACAAACATGGCATCGTTACTTGAGTTCATGTACCGTGGGGAAGTACAAATATCTCAAGAGAGGCTCTCTAGTTTTTTAAAGACAGCAGACAATTTACAGGTAAAATTTATTATTTTGTTTTATAATTCCATAAGATTTTCAATTATTATTGTTATTGTAATGGTAGGTATCTCTATAAAAATTAGTTAATTTATATGAATTAAAGTGGTTCATGTAATTATTAAAAATGTATTACTATCAACTAAGTTATGTTTGAAAGACTTCATAGTTGACTATCTTTATCAAATTAATAACAATTGAACATTTTTATATTTTCATTTAAAATCACATTCATACAAATATTTTTATAAATAATAACAGCTGTTGTTTAAAATAATCTTAACTATTTAAATGTTTATGTTTTTCATTATCAAATCACATAAATATAGTGTATATTTTTTATTAGATAAAGATAAATATCATGGAATTTTTATACATGCTGTTTTTATTTTATATATTTTTTTGTTTGTTCAATATACATATGTAGTATATATATTTACTGAGTACCTACCTATAACAGTACAAAAAATAAAAAAGAATAAAATATCATTGACAACTTGTTTGATATGTTTGATATTTCAATTTTGCTATACAATATAACCGAGAATATAACTATATTTTGAAATGTTAATTAGGTTAAAGGCCTATCATTTGAGTATGACAAATTGTCACTCACAAGTCAGCGTGAACAAGGTAATAGTGAAAACAAAACAACAAATGATTCTTCAAGACCAAAACAAAATGGATCCGCAGAAGCTCAACTTCCCTCTACCTCATTTAATCCACTCCCATATATAACATGTCATTATCGTCAAACACCTGCACATTCAGATCAGCATCCTTCATCACCTGACCCCCAAAGAAATAATAAACGAGCGCACCATAACAATCCCAACTCAACGCCGGTTTCCGATACACTTGGTGTTCGAGCATCTGTCTTAAGAGATGGTTCCAGACCTGAACGTGAATCTCCTCTTTCTATGACCTACTCTTCACATTCATCATCGCATCTGGAAAATTCTCATCAGCCCCAAACAAATAATTCTGGTCCTGTAGACGCTACTACTTCATCACATCATTACCGTAATGTGACTACTAATAACTGTGGAGAAGGTACACTCTTTTGGTTATTTTTATTAGTCTTAAATTAAACTTTATTGAACCATAACTTAATTTACTGAAATCAATTATTTTTACTTGAACAGTACTAAACATACTCTACTCTTCCATTGCTATTATACTATTAATTTATATTAAAATTAAAATAGATCTGCGAATTAAATCTGAACCTGCAACAACGGCACCAAATTCTGGGGAATTTCCACAAATTACAAATACGACCAATGAATGGAAAACACCAGATAATGGGACAACACCACCATCTCCTTCGAATCACTCGTGGAAGATAGATACATCTCATAAAAACGTTGTTTCAACTCTAACTCCTGATGGTAATGTATACTACTCTATAACAGTAAGTTACCTTTCTATGAAATCGTCTTAACGTCAACAATAATTATAAAAAATCTTATGTCATATTACATATTGAATTCTCTATTTAATTATAAATAATGACGTGTCGATTTTAGATTCTGAGCGGAGTATTGGAATGAATTGATTTTACAATGATGTGTTGTTTTTTTATGTCTGTCATCGCCTTTTGGGGTAGTAAAATGCTCCAATTTTCTACTTCAGCATCTTGTGTGGCAGAAAAGCAAATCTTTGTTGCTTTCTGGGGGAAGGAGTGATACCTTGAATATTCACCCGTATTTTAACAAAGATCAACAACTTTATAAAAAAATATAGACATTTCTAAAAAATGTGATAGACATAATTTCTAGTTAATTGATTTTAAAATAATGTTATGCAAATTCATTGTTTTTGGCCAAATTTGATTTCAAGTTACCTAGTAAAAAAAAATGATAATAATATTATTAAGTATGTTAGGCTGACTCACATTCTTCGAGAGTTGTTTTTCGCATCTAATGCTTTATCGTTGTATTCAAATTTAACAACATCCATTACATACTCCACAACTCTTGTACAATAGAACAGTACCCACTTGTCCATACTTTTTGTTATTATTATTCCATTATAAATTTATAATTTATAGCACCCTTACTCTCTTAAATACTAAAATATATTCTCTGTCTCAAAAGAGAATAATCAGTCAGCCAAAAACTTTCATCAGTGCTGCGCATATCCCACAAACAATCCAGTATTAGCATGATTATGTGGTTCTCGACGCGTCATCGCATCATTTACAATTATTGTTCTCTTTTGATTCAGAGAATAATGGTTTAATTTTACCAGTATATCACTATTAGTAGAAAATATCTCGTGCAATTTATTGATTTTTATTTACTAAGCTAATAAAAAATCAAATTAAGTTGACAGTAGTTAAATGTTTTTAAATGTTAATACTTTAAAAAAAATTTTTATTTTACTTATTAATTGTACTTAAATACTATTTAACTATAAACTGTTTATTTTTTCTATAGGTAAAAAATTACAATGTCCATATTGTGAACGGTTATATGGTTATGAAACAAATCTTAGAGCTCATATAAGACAGAGGCATCAAGGGATTCGAGTTCCGTGTCCTTTCTGTGCTCGAACATTTACACGGAATAATACAGTGAGACGGCACATCGCTAGAGAACACAAAACAGAAATTGCAGTGAAATCAAATCCAACATTTCCGCAAACTGCAAATCACAATCAATAACTCTAAACAAATCTACCTCTTTCCCAAATATTTTACCCTCCCCAACACTATATATAATATATCTACCTCTCCTTAAGCATTAATCATACCACCAGTTGAATATAAAATAGTCTGGTACATAAGCAAACTGCAGACTAACTGCCTTTAAAGTACAAATGTAAACCATAAACACTTCTGCAACTATTAAGACTGATGAAGGTGGTGTTAGTTTTTAGGTGAAAATACATTTTTATGACACCGCCTTCAATGTGAAACTTACCTCAATGATTTTTACACGTTATATATTCAAATATAACTTATAATATATTATTTATAATATTAAAAATGTTAATGTTGATTCTGTGGATTGCTTATGTCTCCATAAGTTATAGTAATACGCTGTTAGTTAAGTCATTAAGCAGCTCTCTTATCATTTATTGTGTATCGATAAAAAAAAAAAGTGGCTTTGAATGGTACATTTTAATATAATTTGTATTCATTTTTATAAGTAATTGAAATCGGTTTTGTTGTTAATTGTTAGTCTTGTATTCTAGAAAATTCGAGCCCTTGTTTAAAAATGGGGATTATAATATTGCCTCGAGGGAAAGGGGGGATTATTAGCTTTATTGTTAAATTTTGAAGTGGACTAATTGGACTCTTTGGGTTAATAGCTCTAAATTATGCATATTTAACATTGAGGTATTAATAACTTCTCATCTAGTATTTGAAACTATGTTATGAATTTGATTGTTTAGGTATTGAATTATAAATGTGTTGCATTTTTTAAGAAAAAATTATTTCAAGTACATCTGAATTATGATACTATACACGTGGATTAACATTATATGAAATTTTAATTTATAATTAATATATTTACAGCGTGTAATGTTTCATTTATAGTCAGAATAATTTCCAAGTATAAAAAAAAAATAAGGAAATATTATTATTAGAAAATAGAGACAAAGCCTAGAACAATCTATTAACAAAATATCATATTTTTAGTGTAATACACTATTTGTATTACCAGTATGCTTGTTTATACACTGTTGTAATTTGTATTTTGAATGCATTACACTTGGTGAACATATTAGTTAAAATCTATTATTATATATTGTACCTGATTAAAAATTTTAATTTGATTCAAACATCTTAAAAACAAAAATGTACCATTCATTTTCCAAAATGTAACCGTTAATGTTTTTTTTTAATACTAGTCATATAATACTGCTCCACTAGTCACAATATAATCGAAGCCAGAATTTGTTTTTATTGTGTTATTATGCATACTTAAAATAATTGTATATTATATATGTATACCTTGATTATAAATCCAAATAGAAATTTATTTTTATATTTGGAATCAATGTTAAAGCGCTTGTCGTTCGCATACATCTTTATATTAAAAAATTTGTTTTAGGCATATATTTTTTTCTTGATTACATTTTTATGTAGTCAATGACACATTTAATAATTCAATTGAGACGTCATCGCTACTTTAATTAAATAACTTGTTTCGGCTTAATGTACAAATTTTAAATTAAGTAAATAATTTATGTTTAAAAAAAAAATATAAAAAAAAAAAATTTAAAAAAAATATTTAACAATAATATTATTAATAAAGTATAAAATGAGGCGAACTGCGGCGGAGACATAAGTCAATAATATATACTTACCATTTCGCCTCGTGTAGTTTTAATGTAACGATAGTACAAGTATTTTTAATACCACATGTTATAGTTTTTATTAGGTTAAGCTGTTTTATTATTTATTTTGTTATTTAAACCATTAAGAATTTTATTATATGTTTTCGCCTGTTTCATAACTAAAAAACGTATACCTACATTATTTTCGCAGTCACTTTACACACTAAACAAACTGTAAGATTCAAAATTTTTTTTGCATATTTATTTGTTATTTTGGTTTGTCTTACACATGTAAATTGGTTGGTCATTATGTTCATTTTTTTTTTTTATGTTTCATTACATAATTTCCAACTGTTAAGTGGCACTAAACCCTTTTTCTTATTTATTTTGTGTAAGATATGCCATTCATAACATATTATTTTTATAATTAATTATTGATATTATTATTATTATTATTATTATTATTATTGTTACAAGCATTTTATTATATGATTTATTAATCTTTTTTTTTTTCGTTTAGTGATAATTGAAACAAAATGATTACCGTGTTTGGTACATAACTCAGAGTACAATTTGGTGTCTTAAGTAAAGTTTATTAGTAAAGAAATATATGATATTATTTGGGGAATTTTTTGCACTAAAATTAAGGTGCAGACAATCTGTAATATGTTTGTTCAGTATTCTGTTATAAGTTATGACATTCCACATTTAGAGTGACGTTAAGTGTTAATTCTTTATTGTTGTTAGGTAAACATCACTTTAAGAAATTATATAGTAATATTTTTAATGATGACCTATAGTACAAATTGACTACCTCCACTTCTGATAAGTTTTAGAATAATTAAATTATATAAATTAGGTTAATATTATCTAATTCATATCTATAGTTTTTTGTTTAAGTAAGTTTTAATATTATTTTAATTATCATTATTATTGTAATCAATGTAAATCATTGTTTCCTAATCCATCTACCTCTTTTTTTTTTTTTTTTAAATATATATTAATAATATGATTTTGTAAAGATATAGTACAAAACAGTGCAAAAAATTCCTCTGTTTATTTTCTTTCTTTCATTTTCTAAATGTACAAAGTTAATATTAATAGTTAAGTAATATAGGATTATAATAAATTGTGTTGTTATGTTAATGTTGCTGATTTGTAGGTATTTTGTTAGTGTTTGAATTTATTCCATGTGTCACCATTTTGAGTAAATATTTAATCTAGTTTGTAAGTTTTGCTGTGATTATTCTGTTTATACCATTTGTATAGTTTCACTGAATCAGCCATTTATATTCTTTTTTAAATGTATTTATTAATTTGTTGTTTACATTTCAATTGCTTGCAAATCAATGTTATTCAATTAAAACACAAGAAAATATTTTTAAACAGAAAAAAACTTACTTAAGTATGTTAATTTGCAGGTACATTTTTCAAGACTTTTGTATATAATTTTTGTGAGTTACAAAAGAACTTGTTAAATTGTCAGGGTATGTTTTGATTGTATTATGTCTATTCTCTGGTGGAAATCATCATAAATTAACAAATTTCTTACATGACTGGCTGATTTATAAATTAATTGATGATAAATTACAATATAATTTTTTTTTTGACAGTGCCAATTAGTTGTTTGAATCTAATATTTTATTACAACCTTTATAGCAAATTGCCTTAAATAAAATAATATTAAATTAATTGAAATGTGTCTAAAACAATTTTAAATTATGTCATTAAAAAGGACAAATATTTTAAATATGTATTAACAAATTATAGCTATAAATTATAAAGGAATATTTCATGAATAATTTTTGCAAAACAATTATAATTTGCTGTTTTTGTTTAATTATTAATATAATGTGTTGACTTTTATTTTATATTCAAAAAAAATTATGTTTTTAATTTTAGTTTGTTTTTCTAAGACAGTTATTACGTATAAATATAATATTATATGATAGACCTATATCGATTAGAAAAATGTATTGATTTTAAAATTATGCATTGTCAATGATCTGATTATTTAAATATTAGGTAAATCGTATATTACCATTCATTAATTAAATACTAAAAATTATATTGAATTTGAATATAATAATATGTTCTGATCAAAACATAATATGTGATGTTTTATTAATTATTTATTTATCATAAAAGTGGTTGAAACAGACTCCTGTACAGTGGGAGAATAACCTGTGTTCCTAGCATATTTATTTTATAATTAGGGCACATTGTATAGTTTACAACTTATTGAAATATAAACTAATACTCGCTATATATGGTTGCATATGAAGATTAATTGTAATACAAGCACTCAATATGCAAAAGTATTCTTACTTTGTGTTTGTAGAATGGTCAATTAATAGTTAAAAGGACGCTATACCCACATGTATTGTTTCTGTCTTTCAAATGTATAACAATACAATGTATAAACTGTTTTGCTCGGGAAAGAACCGAGAAGGCTACAGTTATAGCTAAGAAACAAAATTTTCAGCACATAAAAAGGAGGACTTTGGCTGTGCAACGTTGTTTTTATTTTTTTGATATCACTTACCTATATGAAAAAAGTTCTAACTGTTTCAAAAACCATTATTGTTTGTGTTTTTCAAACTTGAAAAACTTTTGTCATATAAATAATACCAAAAAAATTAAAACAAAATTGCACAACCAAAGTTCAACGTTTTATGTGGTGAAAATCTCGTTTCTTAGTAAGTTATGACTATAGCCTTTTTGGTTCTTTACCTAACCTAACCATTTTTTCTATGTTGTACATTTGTACGACGGAGATAACACAGTGGGTGTAGCATCCTCTTAAACATAATAATAATATTATGTTTAACTATATTGTAGTTGTCACATTGTGAAGTAATATTTTATTTTTAAATTTGTTTTAGAGAAACAATATGATGTTTGGTTTATTATGAGTTCATGTATTATAGCCACACGCTTTACAGTGTAGTAACTTTATGTGTAACTCATTTTATTTTAATCGATGAAACTTATTTGTAGTTAAGAAACCTATTTTATGTTAAGAGGATGTCAGCGCTCTATTTGTTTTCTCTCTGGCCTACGCAGCAACATAGATAAAACTAATTTACGTAGAATGATTTTTTCTATGTTTTTAAGTAATCTTAGATTAGAAATCTTTTATTGGAATTAAAAAAGGTAGAGAATAATATTTTTGAGGGAATGACTGATTTGTCTGAATATTGTCTCAAAACAATTTAAATTTAAGTTATGTTTATTTTGAAAGTTAAATAATAATAAAATATAAAATCGATATGTGTCATTCCCTCAAAACTATTATTCTCTATCTTTTTTGTAATGAGTAATTTTACTCTGAGATTACTTAAAAATAAGGAAAAAATAATTTGTTAATGCGTTTTG